CACACACACACACACACACACACACACACACACACACACACACACACTATGCCTACTGACAATAGTTTCTGCAAAGCTTCAGGTCTAGTGGAAATAGCATCAGGTCTCATTTAACAAGCAGACCAGAGCATACCTAGTTAAATCTCACCCAACTCTGGCAAAGGTCCAAACTGCCCCACTACAGGCAAGGAGACCTCTGTAGATGACTGAACTGAGGGACAGAGCAGCCAAAACACAACAGTGAGTGCACACAGCACATACCAGAGACAATTCCCGAAGCACCAGGCCCTAAGCATTATATGACCTCTTCATAAAGCCATTACTCTCAGAAGCAGGAAACATAACAGGCTTCCTAATACACAGAAGAAGACAGACACCCAGACAAAATACCAATACAGAGGATTCATCCCAAAAGAAAGAACAAGAAAAGGTCATGGCCAGGGATCTAATTGAAACAGATATAAGTAATATGCTTGAAACTGAATTTAAAACAACAATCATAAGGATACTAGCTGGGCTTGAGAAAAGCATGGAAGACATCAGGGAGACACCACAGATATAAAAGAGCTAGAAACTAGTCAGGCTGAAATAAAAAATGCTATATGTGAGATTTGAAACCAAGTGGATGTAATGCCCACAAAAATGGAAGAAACCGAGGAATGAATAACTGACCTAGAAGATAAAATTTAAAATAATGAAGCTGTACAAAATAGAGAAAGAATGATGGATCATGAAAGTAGGCTTAGGGAACTCAGTGACTCCATCAAACATAACAACATTCATATCATACGAGTCCCAGAAAAAGAGAGAAAAAAAGGGGCAGAGAATTTATGTGAAGAAATAATAGCTGCAAACTTCCCTAAGCTGGGTAAGGAAACGGATATCCAAATCCAGGAGGTACAGAGAACTCCCAACAAAAGTAGGCTAACAAGACATATTGTATTTAAGTTTGTAAAATACAATGATAAAAAATCCTAAAAGCAGCAAGACAAAGGAAGTCCCTAACTTACAAGGGAAGACAAATAAGGGTAGCAGCTCATCTCTCCACAGAAACCTGGGAAGCCAGAGGAGAGTGGCAGAATATATTCAATGTGCTGAATGGGAAAAATCTGTAGCCCAGAATACTCTATGCAGCAAGGCTATAATTCAAAATAGAAGAGAGAAAGAATTTGCCAGACAAACAAAAACTAAAGGAGTTCATGACCACTAAACGAGCCCTGCAAGAAATATTAAAGAGGACTTATTCAGTGGGAAAAAAAAAAAAAAAACAGACCCTATATAACAAAGACTAGAAAGGGACAGAGAAAAATCTCCAGAAATAATGATAAAACAAGTAATAAAGTGGCATTAAATACATATCCATCAATTATTATGCTGAATGTAAGTGGACTAAAGGCTCCAATCAAAGACAGGGTGTCAGAATGGATAAAAGACCAAAATCCATATGCTGCCTACAAGAGACTAATTTTAGACGTAAAGAGACCTGCAGATTGAAAGTAAGGGGATGGAGAAACATTTATCATGCTAATAACATCAAAAGAAAGCCAGAGTAGCAATACCTAAATTAGACAAACTAGATTTTAAACCAAAGACTGTAACAAGAGATAAAGAAGGGCACTATATCGTAATACAGGGGAATACCCAATGAGAAGATCTAACAATTGTAAATATTTATGCCTTCAACTTGGGAGCACCTAAATGTATAAAACAATTAATAACAAACATAAAGGAACTCATCGATAATAATACAATTATAGTAGGGGACTTTAACACCCCACTTACAGAAATGGACAGATCATCTAAGCAGAAAATCAACAAGGAAACAATGGCTTTGAATGACACACTGGACCAGATGGACTTAACAGATATATTCAGAACATTTCATCCTAAAGTAGCAGAATACAATTCCTTTTGAGTGTACATGCAACATTCTCCAGAGCAGGTCACATATCAGGCCTCAACAATTACAAAAAGACTGAGATCATACCATGCATGTTTTATGAACACAACACTATAAAACTTGAAGTCAACCACAAGAAAAAAATTGGAAAGACCACAAATACATGGAGGCTAAAGAACATCCTACCAAAGAATGAATGGGTCAACCAGGAAATTAAAGAAGAAATTTTAAAAATCCATGAAAGCAAACTGAAAACACAACAGTCCAAAACCACTGGGATGCAGCAAAAGTGGTCATAAGAGGAAAGTCTCTAGGAATACAGGCCTACCTCAAGAAGCAAGAGAAATCTCAGAGAAAAACAACTTAATCTTACACCTAAGGGAGCTAGAAAAAGAACCACAAATGAAGCCTAATATAAAGATTAGAGCAGAAATAAATAATACAGAAACTAAAAAACAAACAAAAACAGTGGAAAGGTTCAATGAAACCAGGAGCTAGTTCTCTGAAAAAACTAATAAAACTGATAACCCCCTAGCCAGATGTTTCAAAAAGAAGAGAAAGGACTCAAATAAATAAAATCACAAATGAGAGAAAAGAAATATGCCATCAAATTGGACAATCTGGAAGAAATGGGTAAATTCCTAGAAACATATAAACTACCAAAACTGAAACAGGAAGAAATAGAAAACTTGAACAGACCCATAACCAGCAAAGAAATTGAATCACTAGTCAAAAATCTCACAAGAAACAAAAGTCCAGGGCCAGATGGCCTCCCAGGTGAATTCTACCAAACCTTAAAAGAAGAGTTAATACCTATTCTTCCCAAACTGGAAGGGAAGGAAAACTTCCTAACTCATTCTACAAGGCCAGCACTACCCTGATTCCAAAACCAAAGATTCACTAAAAAAGAGAACTACAGGCCAATATCCCTGATGAATAAGGATGCAAAACTTCTTAACAAAATACTTGCAAATCAAATTTAACAGTACTAAAAGAATCATTCACTGCAATCAAGTAGGATTCATTCCTGGGCTGCAAGAGTGTTTCAATATTTACAAATCAATC